AAAAAAATACAAAGAAAAAAAAAAAGGCTTTGGGAAAACCAATTTTTTCCCAAAAAAAAAAAAAAAAAAAAAAACTCAATTTATTAATTCGAGTGGTCTTCACGTAATCCTTTTTTTTTTTTTTCCTATTGAGTTCGATTTACGGTAAGACTTTTTATTAGTAGTGCATATTTTTTATTGTTAAATTTAATTAAAATCACATTAAAATAAAAATTTATACAAAATCACAATTTGTGATATAGATATAATAATTGAAAAATAAAAATCTACAGTAATTTATTTTCCAGGTCTTATTGTAAAAATATTTGTATTTTTCATATCAATAGATATTAGAAAAAAATAAAAAAGTTACAAATCTTTCCCTCAATGAGAAAAGGAGATTTCAACGGTAAGTCTTAAAAAAAATAAATTATTAGTAATTTTTTATTTTTGACTGTTAGAACTTAATTAAAATTGTATATTTTATGTATTTTTTTAATTTGATATAATTTTGATTATATTAAACAATCAGAAACAAGTGCTATCAATAGAAAACCCAACACGAAGGAGAAAAACAGTATAAGATAATCTCTCCCCCACAAAATGAGTATAAGTAAATCCTTGCTTGGTTCTTAATTAGTGAATCTGATAATGGCTGTAATTTCGCCAGATTTCCCAACACGTGCAATGCACGTTGTACACATGTGAACAGTGAAGTCATGGTCTCAAATCATACAACAATATTATATGGCTCTTCCTTATCCATTATGGCATAGAAATACATAAACTAGAGACAAATGACAGCTTACGCATAAGATATGGAAATATAAATATGTGCAATCAAAGCAAAACCTGCAAGCTTTCATTTAAAAATATATATCACATGGATTCTAATTAATAGTTGCCGCTGCTATCGCTACACAGCAAAAGAATCTGCAGTTTTTAATGTCTAATTACTCTTTCTAATTTTCTCTTTTCCTCTCATTTTTGAATTAATTAATGCAAAATGAAATAAGTACTAATAGCATGATTTGTTTTCTACATGTATTTGATTTTGCCAGGGATATGTGGGAGCACAAATTGTACAATAACATTCAAAGCAAATAACTAAAAATTTGTCTAGTAATGCTAAACTTATCTCAACAAGAGGGGTGACATTCCTCTAGAAATTGTTTTTTCCCCCTTTTTTTCCCATTTTCTTCTCTCTGGGAATATAGAGCTGTAAAAACTCAAATTATTGAAGTCACTGTAAATTGTATAGCTTGTGTGTAAAACCGTTTTTCTTTCCTCCCACACCCAGACTCTTGTATTTAAACTTGGCAACTTTGATGATTTTTGTTTTCTATATATAGTTAAAAGAAGAGATCGTTGGTGTTCTCACGCTCTCAATCAACGTCTATAAAAGGAATTAATCGGTCTCATTGATGTAATAATCAAGAGTCTAAATCTATTTTCTACTCGTTCACTACTAGGTTTCACTTATGCACACTGACCCAAATTTTTTTTTTTTTTTTTGTGGGGAGTCACAATAATGAGAAAGGGTTTAAAAAACACTACTAAAAAAACAGAGTTTTAATTGCCAAATCACATCGTTAAATTAAAAAAAAATGTGATTATTTAATATTAATTGTCGTTTATTAGAGTTGGAGTGATCTTTCGTGATCGTGCTGGTTGTGTTCTTAGTGCGGCGGCAGTTTGGATTGTAGATAAATACTCTTGGAATCTGGTCGAGTCTGCAGAAGTGGTTTTACTAATTGGGTGATCAAATCGGATGCGCTCAATGTCGTTAATGCAGTTCGAAGACCGGTTTCAAGAGTCTTGAAGCTTCTATAATTGAGGATGTTAAAGAAGTTATTTCTCAAGCTACTATGGATCTGTTTGCTACATTTCCTGATAAGGAAACTCTGTAGCACACAATTTGGTAAAATTTTGCTTGTACGTGTCTTGAGATGTTTTCTGGATTGATTCTCTGCTACATGTTATTGGCTTTTTTGTACTTGTTGATAAAAAAAAATAATTGAATAATAAAGTTAGCTTTTCTTTCAAAAATAAAAAAAATAAAAAGTTGTGTTAACCTTACTATATAAAATGCTATTTTTTTTTTCCTTAAAAAATCAAATGTAATAATAGTTTCCAACAAGTAGTCTTGTGTGGTTGGGTGAAATCCAACTCAGGGGACCATAAAGAATTTAAATTATGCCCTCTGAATTTTAGCCAAATACGATATTTGTTCTTACAATTTTTATAATTAAAAAAAATATTCCTCGTGTATTTAAACTATTTTAAAACCTCAATTTTTTTCTTATTAAAACGTAGTCCTATAAATGGGCAAATTGTGAAAATGAAATTAATACCTATTAACATGGTAAGTTAGATTGGTGGTCCTAGAGGTGTCAAATAGGCCGGGCCGTCCATGGACGGCCCGGCCCAGCCCGTAATAGTGCCTGCTTCGGCACGGCCCGGTTCGTTACTGTTACGGGCCGTGCCGGCACAGCACGTGTAATGGACTAATGCTGGGCCTCAACTTCTCAGCCCGCGGCCTAAGCACGTAGAGGCCCGCGGCACGGCCCTTATTCGGCCCGGCCCAAGCCCGCGAAACGGCCCACGAAGAAGCCCATTTCATTTGGTCCAGTGGGCCCTTCGCGGGCCCAACGTAACGTTCGGCACGTGATGGGCCCGCGAAGGGCCCAACGGAAAAAAACCGAATTTTAACCCAAAAATCCCCTATAAATACCCCTTAATTCCACCATAAATCCCACACAACAATTCACTCTCATCTTCTCATCTCACTCTCAGTCTATCTCTCAACTTGTCTCTTTGATTTTGATTCTAAGCTTTTTTCTCGTGTTAATTCATTTTCTAGTTCTTTCATTTACAAAGTTCAATCAAGTTCTATCAATTTCCAGAAAATGGCCTCACTAAATTTTCCTGATTTCACTGTTCTTCCTGAGCTTGGTGAGGAGACATTTTTTGAGGAAGAAATGATGCCTTCCAACGCCACCCCCACTGAACCAGAAAATGCTCCGGTGGATAATGCTTCAGTATACAACGAAGAAGTTGGAGAACGCAGCAGAGGAAAAAGACCGCGAACTTCTCCGGCATGGCAACATTTCGCCGAGGAGCCCCGACCAAATCCAAAATCAGGTGAGATGGAAATTCGTGTGGTATGTAAATATTGTAAAAAGCACTTTTCTAATAAAAATGGTGGGGGTACTGGTCATCTGGATAGACATTGGAAAATATGTCTACCGTTGCACCAAGGTGGGAGTGTGGACTCCCGCCAACAAACACTATCACTCACATCACATGGGTTACAAAATTTTACATACGATGCACAACGTGCTCGTGAGGCACTAGCTAAATTTCTAGCTAGTGCCGAATTGCCTCTTTCTTTTGCAGATGATGCCTCCTTCGAAGAATTCATCCAGACAGCCTTTTGCCCACAATTTAAACGGGTAAGTAGAAACACAACTCATTCTAATTGCATGAAAGTTTTTTATGCAATGAGGCAACCTCTTGTTGACAATTTTAGGACTTTTAATGCTACTGTGTCTTGCACTTCTGATCTGTGGGAGAGGTGTAATAAAATTAGATATTTATGTGTCACAGCGCACTACGTTGATGATGATTGGGTTTTACAAAAAATAATAATTGGTTTTCGTTTATGTCCATATCCTCATAACGCAACAGCTATTTTCAGTACAATAATGGAAATTTTTGGGTTTTATGGGATAGAAGATAAAGTTTTAACAATTACTTTTGATAATGCGTCAGCTAATACAGCTGCAATCAATCTGTTTAAACGTAGTTTGAAACCGGCATTTGGAGGGGAAATTTTTCATCAACGGTGTGCATGTCACATAATTAATTTAGTAGTTCAGGCAGGAATTGAACATATATCTGCTAATCTTACAAATATTAGAAAATCATTATCCTTCATATCTAGTTCTGGAGCTCGGCTTCAAGAATTCAAACAATATTGTAGGAACAGCCAGATGCGCCCAAGAAAGTTTCCAACTAACGTGAGACATAGGTGGAATTCAACATATTTAATGTTGAAGGCAGCACTCCCGTATTCACAGCTTATCACGACATACGGAGTAGATGGAACTGAATCATTGATGACTGCTACCGCATAGAATTTAAAAATAGATATGCAACTAAGTATTACTCACGCTAAGAAAATGTTAGAAAAAGTTTTTAGTTTGTATGAAGCAAAATATAGCACAGGTCAAAAAGAACGGAAAACTTCGTCGTCAACTACCAGTTCGGGGCCTAAAGGATCATCGTGGAGTTTCTTGAAGAAGAAAGAGAAAACGGCAGATCATCCTCAACACAAGCGTCTACAGAACTAGTCAAATATTTTGAAGCAAATTTTGTAATCGATGACGACAAACTAGACATCTTACAGTGGTGGAAGAGCAAGACAGATCGTTTTTCAACACTGTCCATAATAGCTCGTGACATTCTGACAACTCCATCGGAGCAAGCTTTTAGCGCAAGCAACCGAATTCTTGACGAGAAGAGAAGCAGAATGCATCCAGATATCTTGGAGGGACTAATGTGCGTTAAAGACTGGGAAGATGCCAGAAGATGAAAACAACAATACACAGATGATTCGATGCAAGAATATTTTTCTAACTTAGAAATAACAGAATCTTCTGGAAGCACTTAGATTTGTAATTTACTATTCCTAGCTACTGCACTCTTTTTTCCTTCGCTAAGGTTTTGTCCCGATCTCCCCACGGGTTTTACTTAGCAAGGTTTTTAACGAGGCAGTCATTTATGTGTACTCCTATTGCGTCAATTCAATAAAATCACATCTTTTGGGGCATTTGATATTTTTTTTAATTAAATTTAAAAAAAATACAAGGGCCGGGGCCGGCCCATGAAGGGCCTGGGCCCAGGCCCGGCCCTGGCCCTTATGGACTAGGGCCAAGGGCCTGGACCGGGCCTGAGTTTTTCTTCTCAGGCCTAGCCCAGGCACAACCCTGCACTATGCAGGGCCGTGCTAGGCACGGCCCAAGCCCGTGATGGGCCTGGGGTCAAGCGTGCCGTGCCGGCCCGGCACGGCACATTTGACAATACTAGGTGGTCCAGTCTCAGATCGAATCTCTCGCTCTCGTCGTCCGCATACTATTGGTTTGACATGGTTAGAAATTGATAGATTTTTATATTCTTTCAAATTCCCATTTATATTAGTATATAAAAATACAAGAAATATTTTTTGGGATTATCATAAATATAGACAAACATGATATTTAACTAAAACTGTTTAATTTTCTCGACTACAAAATGTTGAAAACTGCCAGGCTACTTTTATATTTCGACTAATGGGGTCCAACGAACAATTTCAAAATACAGACAACTCCTACGAATTCGAAGAGCTAATAATAACATTCTGTGAGCAAATTAATGTCGCAACAGATCTAGTAAATCTTGTTCCTAAGCAAGCTCTCTGTCATCAGTTGATTGAAATACCGGTTCCAAATGAGAAAAAAAAATATATGGAAATACAATAAAAATCAGTGCCCCGCCTAACTCCCTTACTGAAGGGATCTGAAAAAGAATTTCAACACATCGATAATGGTGTACAGAGAAATCAATCGATGCAGCAACATAAACCGGCCACATCATGATCTAGGTGTAGGTTTTGAAGTCCTAGCTCGAACAACACCCGGGTTTCTTGACAGCCGAGACATCTTTAGTGACGTCGATCTTCTCGCCTTTGGAAGGAACGGTGGAAGCTACATCGTTGCTGGTTTCCATGGCCTTCTTGCTCACAATGTGGTAAATCTGAGTGAGAACTTCGGCGAATGCGTTATCCACGTTGGTTGCTTCGAGTGCAGACGTTTCCATGAAGTAGAGGGATTCCTTCTCTGCGAAGGATTTCCCAACCTCAGTGGAGACTGCCACGAGGTGACGGAGATCGGATTTGTTACCGACGAGCATGACCACGATGTTGGGATACCAAAAGCGCACCCACAGCTCCTCGGTAGTAAGCACTTGTAATGGCTCGGTACCTGCACATTGCCAAATGCATTAAGTTATGGACTGTAAAATGCAACGAATTTCAATCAAAAGTAAAATTTCAATCAAAAGTAGAATTCGAAGAATCTACTTGTGTGACTATCAGGGCTCCTGTGACAGATCATGAGATCATGAGTTGGTTTAATTGTAAAACAGGACATCATGATTAAAACAATGCAACAACAATTTTTTGGGGTGAATTGGAGGAATAGCAATTGGTATTCAAATACACCAATTTTGTAGAAAAAAATAAGCTAATTTACACACAAAAATGGTATGGGTGAATAAGATTTCATAACTGGTACTTAGCCTAACTAACATCAATTCCTAGTCATCCCTTCAAAATTGAACTAATGGGCTGCGTAAACGTACAAAGGGCAGGGCTGGTGTGCAACTAAGGTTGTCTTCCAAATTCTTCTAAAGAATATTCCACTATGTTAGGATTTCTGTCACATGGAAAAGTTATCAATATCACAAATGATTGAAAAGTGATACTGCCATGAAAAAAAAAATGATGACGTATCATAGAAATAAAAGTTACCTTAATAGGGATGTGATATGGGACAAAAGTTTAGACCCTAGTGAAACTCAGAATTTCAAAACTTACACATTAATGGTCTTCAAGATAAAATTCGTTTGTGGGGTACAAGATTGCTCTAAATGATTTTATGCATTGAATCTTTAACACAAAAGCAAAAGACGTGGTTTTCCAAAACAGGGGCAAAATTAAGATTTACGCACTAACCCTTTTTTTCTACCAACATTTACACTCTATTTGGTAAGAGGGAAAGAAGAGAATGGAAAGAAAACATGTGAAAGAAAGAATATGTGAAGGATAGGAAGCAAGTTGATTTTCCTTTATGTTGTTTGGTATGATGAGGAAAGAAACTATTTTACCAATTATTTAACATAAATTTAGCTTTAAAATAGGGACAAAAAATTTATTTTAGTCATCAATGGGTGGATTTGAGTTTTCCAACTAATATTGGAGAGATAAAAATTAGTGCGCCCCACTACAATTTTTATCCATCCTATTTTCCTTTATGTCCTCTCTTCCTTCTTTCCAAACAATCTACTATATCATTTTCCATCTAATAATCCCTCCACGGCTCCACCACATCCTTCCTTCCTCTTTTCCATCATACCAAACATAGCATTAGGAATTTGGAACAACATACTTTGAAGAAACTTTTTTCCTAACCTTTTGTCTACTTGTTTTTGGTGTCAGGTCAGTAGAATGGTAAAGGACAAAATCTGATAAATGGACTCTAAATAAACTATACAGATTTGGATATGGCTACTCAAACCACGAAATTATATCAAAATTGAATGACTAAGTTCCTCCAATACAGCAGTACTCCCAACAAAACCTGAACACTTGTCAGAGCATTTGTTTTGCTATGGCCGTAACATTCATCATAGTTTCCTTCTAAATTTCTAATACAGAAAGAAGTCATACTAGTTTGCATTCCTCGTGCAAATTCTTTTTCAAGATAAAACACTTTTTCAAGTAATTCCCAAATCAGAATTCAGTTCTTCATATAAACATAAGTATTATTAGACTACAAACTAGCAATTTTGTGATAAATCTAACCGCCGTCATAACTAAAAAAGAGAGCTACCTCCACAAGGACATAACATAATACTAATTACTTCGCTAACAGCCCAATAATACCAGCAAATTGGACAAGGTTACGATACACCCTCCATTTATGAAAGAACATATGTATTAGAAGTGACTACTACAACCAGCTAGCACATTAAATGACTGACTTCCAAATACTGTAGACTCTAAAAGACCATACCAACTCCCTACATGATAATATTTAGTTTACCAACAATGCAATAGGCAAATAATGATTTTGAGGCAAGCAAACATTCATCAGAGATTCAGAAATAAGATCCAAATACTACGGTTTTAGACCAACTTAGCACAAATCAAACGCCAATTTACTAAGAAGTTCCCAAGCCCAATACAACACGATTTCATAGATGCTCCTAGGGGAAGATATAAACAAGAGTACATGGAGTGTCAACAAACTCATTTCAAAAATGGCTTGAAACTATTATAGCAAGTTCTATATGCTAGTAAAGATTTATTTATTATTTGAAAAGAAGCAAAACGTCAATAAAAAAACATGGGAAGTAAAAAGGAACACCACCTGAGAGGATAGGGAGTCCTCCAACTAAAACAAAAGGAAAAAAGACTACATAACGAGATTCTGTTAGATACCAAAACGTACATCTGGAATAATTATAAGATGATTAATGGGTTTATAAGCTTTAACACCAATTGTTAGGAACCCATTCCGTAAAACTCATCCTTGCAAAAGCGGCATTTAAAAGGAGGGGACCCAAGAGCTCATAACCCACTAATCATTTTATAATTATTCCATGCAAGGCTTTTGGTATCTCATAGATTCCATAACCACACTGACATACAAAAATTACAAAAATATTCGTCCCTCATACAGCCATATAGCAACTCAAAATTTCACGTTCTTCTACATTCCACACAAACAAAGTCTTCGAATATCCTTCTATTTTGTGCTCACCAGAATGACTAACACAAACCCCAAAATAGCATAATTCTAGTAAAAGAACGCCAACAAAAGGGAATCCTCCGATGGCAAACATCCCACTGCCAAGATCTAGAACTGACCAAGTATATGTACTTGGACAAATGGACATGAGAAACTGCAATCTCTCTGCTCCTAGCCATCAGTGTACTTAATTAAAAGACTCGGATACAGTACCAATCTAAGCACAAAGAGAAGGTCAACAAGAGCATAGTTATTTAGTTGTCCCCCAATTGCATTCGCTTTAGATTTTGTGCATTACACTAAAATAGAGAAAATGCAATCTTAAAATGCCACAAAAATTGAAAAAAACGTGCAATACAACAAACTTATGGAAATACAACCATCCCAAGTAACTAACTAAACTGCAGTTAATCTCCGAAGAAAGACAAGATTATAGCAATGCATTATGATTTATGAACCTAACAAGACCAGATGTGAAACTAGAACAATGAAAGTATTTGGTATGACTGTTAAACTCATATTGGTTTTTGCTGAGATTATTTCTAGTGAACACGCGAAAATCCCCATAATCTCGGAGAAAACATCAAGATCTACCACTTCCTTCCCAAAACAAAGCTTGATCCGCCTTTAGTTAAGATAATCAAAAGAAAACAAATCAAATCTACATGCATAAACAAACCCCAAACACTTGGAAAAAAAAAAACCAGTCGCGAAAATCTTCGTGAGTTCAAAATTTCTCCCAGATCTCCTAAACCAAACCCATTTATGTAATCCAGTGAACTATCGCCAAATCAAACACCTTATAAAATTCTCAGCAACCAAACAGCACAAAAGAAGAAAGGGAAAAGTAGTAGACCTTTCTTGGCCAGCGGTGTCCCAAATCTGGGCCTTGACGACTTTGGAATCGACAGTTAAGCTCCGAGTGGCGAACTCAACGCCGATGGTGGACTTGGACTCGAGGCTGAACTCGTTCCGGGTGAATCTGGAGAGCAAATTTGATTTTCCGACGCCGGAATCTCCGATCAGAACCACCTTGAACAGGTAATCGTAATCGTCCTCAGCTCTGTACCCAGCCATTTCCGCTTTAACCAAACTCTCTCAGAGGAAGAAGCTGAGAGACAGTCCACTGATGTTTTTTCACTAGTTTTGTAATTGTAGTTTGTGGATCTCCCTCTTTGTTTGGTGTTTGGGTTTTATGGTTATGTATTTTGTTTTTCAATTTTTTTTTTAATTTTGTAATTTTGCTTTTTAAAGGCGTGAGTTGGAAAAGTTGAGACTTCTTTCTGTCTCCTGGCTGTCTGTCCGTCTGTCTCTTCAGTCTCCACTAAATGCGTTGAGCTCAGTATGACTGTTCATGGGTTGGGTTAGTGGGAAATAGAATTTTTTTTTTCTTGTCTCAAAGAGTGCGGGTTACATATATTTAGCCTTAATGATGTTAAAAAAATTTCACAACTCAATGATGTTCGGGTTGGGTTGGGGCGGTGCGGGGTGGGTTGGGTGGTCGGTTTCAACATTAAAAAAATCAAAGACTTAAAGTTCAATATAATATTCAAACTTCATCATTAAATAGAAATAGCAACCATCCTTATCAGTCCGGTGAGAGAGCACCGGAGAAAGTGGGTAAGACGGCGGTCGAGATGACTAAGCAATGAGGAGAGAGTTATGAGGGGGTTCATATGAGAGGAAGAAGAGGGCAAACTGAAAAGGAAGAGGCAAGAAGAGGGACCGAGAATGAGATTGTGAACCCTAATGTTAGTGAGCCTAAGGTAGAACTTGAGCAGTTCGGCTTGGGCCGAAAGCTTGAGGGTATGTTGTGCGGGTTGAGTTGGGGATTGCGGGTTGTTATGGGCCCAACCCGCAATCCGCCCCAACACACTTCGGCCCAGAGGTCTAATGGGCCGAAAATTTAAAAATAATACTGCGGGTTGCTTTTTTCGGCTTGGGTTGGGGTGAGGTGGGTTGGGTTTGCGGGTTGTTCGAATTTATGAACAGCCCTAGAGCTCGGAGCCGCATTTTTCTTTTAAATTTTTTTTTTTTTTTGCCAATTCTATAGGAATGTCCTTGATTAGAGAATAGATGGGTAGTCATTGTTTAAGAGCTTTCTCTGTTTGTCCCCGTAGATTATTAATAATTTTTTATTTTTTAATCGTTAAATTTATATTATAATTTATTTATTATATATTTATTTAATTTAATATGATTTTAATTAAATTTAACAGTTAAAATTAAAACTGTAAGACACATTATTAGAAAAACTTATTCACTTTTATATATATTTTGAGTTTATTAAGAAGGAAAATAGAATTTATCTAAATCATCTCCCTACGGGTAATTCCCATTATTCACATAATAATGGATCTCACTTATCCACTTTATGCTTACATAAATATAGAATTTTGTTATATTTTGAATCATTACACATATTTTTACCTTCAAATTCTTTCAACATCTCGTTTTCCTCTACTTTTTCCTTGATTTTTCTCACTATATGTTGATTTGCGCTTTTATATATTGTATGTTGAACAATAATTTTGGGGGTGTGTTAAAGTATTAAAATTATTGTTGACCCACCTCTTAATAGTTTAAGCTTTTGGGATGAATTGGTAAACTAACATGGTATCAGAGCGGGAGGTCTTGAGTTCAAACCCCCGTAGTTGCACTATTTATCTCTATTTAAATTGTCATCATGTTTTCTCACTATATGTTGATTTGCGCTTTTATATATTGTATGTTGAACAATAATTTTGGGGGTGTGTTAAAGTATTAAAATTATTGTTGACCCACCTCTTAATAGTTTAAGCTTTTGGGATGAATTGGTAAACTAACATGGTATCAGAGCGGGAGGTCTTGAGTTCAAACCCCCGTAGTTGCACTATTTATCTCTATTTAAATTGTCATCATGTGTTGGGTCTTTAATATATCTTGGGCTTAAATATTCACGTGTTGGGCTTTTTAATTAATTTACCCACTGTTCAGCCCACACGTGAGGGGAAGTATTAAAGTATTAAACTATTATTGATCTACTTTTTAATAGCTTAAGTTTTTAGGATGAATCGGTAAACTAACGGGTTCGTGACTACCGCATGGCATGGTACAGATTCGGTGTGGATAACGTACTCTTTTTTGAGCTGTTTAATTGAGTATCAACGGTCCTAGATCATGATTCATAGAAAGAAAAATAAACACTACCACAGTTTTTCTAATCATTGCCCTCGCCACCTCACTCACCGAGCTCTGAAGCTTTTCAGATTTGGAGTTGCCAGTGATGTTCTCACTAAAGGTGACAAAATAGATGCGTTCTCCTCTTTTTTTTTTCTTTAATTTTTAAATTTTTTAGGTAGAGTGAATTTGATTGGGTGCAATCAAGTGTATTTTTGTCTTGACGGGATAATATTATCTTAAGCATGTAATTTTTCAAACGGTTGAAAATCTTCGTTATCAATACCGTATAAGAAGCCTTGGTATGTTAGCATTTTCTTAATTTTTGAGGTATTAAGACTTTGTTCACTTCGCGAATTTGAATTTTTAATTCAAGTTGAGATGTGACATTTTTTGAAGACTTTTTACTGTAACAGAAAAAGTTAGATGTGACATTTTCTGATAACTTTTTACTATAAAAACCTAAAATTAAAAACTCGAATCGATAAAATGAACAAGGCCTAAAAGTGCAATTAATTACCCAAGTTCCCAAGCCCGAGCTCCTATGTCCAAAACTCCCAAAACCAAGCTTCCAAGCACAAACCTCTTGATCCCAAGCACCTGAGCCAAAAGTTCCCGAGCCCACTATCTAAGCTCATATTCGGCCGAAAAGTGAAAATTTAAAAGTCACGTAATGTCATTAAGTAGAGCAATAGATGATAATTGAAAACATTAAATAGTCAAGGATTAATACACATAGATAGTTTCCTTATACATAAAAATAATAATAAAACTCTCAAATTAGTGGAAGAATAAGTTCCTTCAATTCTAATGTATTCTAAATCCTCTCAAATTGAGAGGAACAATTGGAGACACAATTTTCAATACAAAACCTTAAGGTAATTACACCAAATTTCGACTTTCACCAAGTTGATTTTTAATTTTAATCTGTTGTTTGAAGATGTTGATTTAGTGTTGGAAGAAATTGTACTCCTACATATGTTTCCAATTTGTCAATTTGTTATCTGATTTCTTATTTGGGGTGTGGCTTTGTTTGAGATTGAAAATTTGGTTTCGAGATTCAAAATTCTCTCCTTAAAAAAAAAACAAAACAAAACAAAAAACAAAAACAAAACAAAATTCTATAGATTATGCATACGAACTTGCTAAAAGGTAAGGAAACGAGGACTATATGTCACTATTTATTGTCATCGGAGGTCGAGATCATATAAAAAATTTAAGAATGTTTATTATTTCCATATTTTTCTATCTATTGAATCACTAAAATACATTTTTATCCTTATAAAAACAACATTCTCTAAAAGCGAAAAAAGTTAAATATAATATAAATTGAAAATGAGAAAAAATAGCAACAAAAAAAAAAGAATTATGCAAAACTCTATACAAATCATTCACTCCCTATCTTCTTTAATATTTATACATATTTCGTCTTTTTTTTTTTTTTTGTGATTAAGACAGTTCCATAAAAACCCCTGCATTCTTTGAAATATGACAATTCTTGTAGAAAATATAGATTAACGTGAATGAAGAAACATACCAAAGACTTTTTTGGGGTAATTATTGGATCTTGTTTATGATAGTCCTAATATTTTGACCATTTTTGATAATTTGATAATTTAATTTAGTTTTTTATGTGTTTATCTCTTGATTTCACGAGTTAATTTTAATGAATTACATGTCCAATGATGGAGATGACCAATGATACGTATTGATTTGAGAATCACTTTGGCACATTACTATATTACCAATAGCAATCTAATAGGCTATTATGACAATTAGTGCCGGAGATTAAAAAACAAAAAGATTTATGGGAACTTTACAGGAATGTCAGAATTTCAAGATTTGGATTGAGTTATGTCCAAGAAAAAACTAATTGCAAAAACTTTTATGACATGTCTAGGATTATATTTTTAAATTCCAAATATATCCTTAAGACTGAATAGTATCCCGCTGTAATACCGGCGGTATCCACGTAAATACTGGTATCCGAACATGATACCAAATTACCAATCGATATCTACTACAATGCCGGCCGGTATCCACCAATAACGGCGGCACTACTACCGTTCTCATCGCTGGAACACTTAAAAAATACAAAAATTACAAGCACAGAGCAGGGAAAAAAAAAAAAACCACAAACAATTAGGAGAAAAAACAGAGGACAGCTCCATCGTGGTGGAGAGCTGCAACAATGATGAGATATATCTCAGCTCACGGAGGAGATCTCTACGAATCTTCTCTCTTATATTGCATGAAGGAGACGAAGAGACATGGTTTGTACAAATATGGAACCACAGCACTCAAGGAGCTCGATCGTCTTCGTGTTGAGATCACCATAGTTTGAAGGAATCAACGTCGATGCGAAGAGGGGAGAGAAGAGTGGTGGAGAGGGAACGTTGTTTATTGATGATTCGCGAAGTTTTACAACAAAAAACGACGTGGAGCTCGTCAACGATGATTTGCTCTACGACGGCAAGGCTTGTATAGCGTTTAAACTAGGGCGAGAGAATGTAAGAGGAGAGAGAGGAGTGTGGTGGCTAGAGAAGGTGAAGAGGGAGAGAGAGAAAAAAAGAACCTAATCCTAGTACAAGGTTATTTGTTATGCCACAGTTAAAAAGTTGAATGTTTAATCCACGCCTAAAAACCAAGTCAAATACGCTAAATATCTCGAAAACGGCTATATAATCTATCAGATTACTAGTCGTTTTCTAGTATATTACTCTGGCAGGTGGTCACTGTTATTTTTGACAACATAATCCAGTAGAGAACTAGTATCTCATGAATACTAATAGTAATCTAGTAGGGAATTCTAGAACTGACAATATCCGCGAAAATTTCGATGAAACACAATTTGTTTGTAGGTTTTCTGGAGGAGAAGAATTCTAATCTTACTTTCAATTAACGAAACTATCCCATAAAAAGTTGTTCGATTTTCGATTATGTCATTTAGGTGTCAATTCAAGATCAAACCAAACCGATCATTTACATACAAGTATACGACATATATATATATATATATATATATATA